ACGTGTCGGTAAGGAGCTGGTAACAAAATAATGCGGTCGCAATGCTGGCGTGCAGCCGGGCTCGCTCCCAGCCCACTTCGCTCATTTGCCAGCTCACCTGGCCCGATCTTTGCTTGCACACCCGCTCACGCACTAGTGCCAGCTGCCAGCACCACAGACACACGCTCTTGAATTTGAGGAAGGGAATTTAATAAGACAGGAGGACAGACCGTGCTGATCAGGTGCAGGGTGTGACCAGACAAGTATACGGACCAGCCTCCTATTTACACACAGCCAGCCCTTTTTATCCCCTTACCCCTCTATTTTCCTCCCCAAATCACCTAAATCCCTCCTTTTCCGCACCTTTGGTTCCTACCATAAATCCTGTGCAATCCCAAAATGCTCTTCCCCTGCATGCCGTAAGATGTCCTCCCTTGTCAGGGATCCCCCTTAGTCCAGATGGTGATCCGGAGAGCTGCTGCAATGAGACATCTTGACGGGTCTCAGACTGGGACCATGGGGCTGGTGGCTCTTCTGGGACAGTCCTGGGAGGGACATGGACAAAATACTCGTTCTTTGGTGGTCCTTAATTTGGGTTCCCACCTGCCAGTATGCCCCTGTGCTCCTCTGGGCTTGTACAGGTGGGCTTTCGATGGGCTGATGGCCCCCATGATGGGGCTAGGAGTAGCCTGGCAGGGTACTATTTGTCTCTCTGTGCTCCTCTGTGGGTGTGCAGATGAGTTTTTATCACATAACCCAACACCACAACAGCCAGAGACACAGAGCAGGGATACCTCTGAAGGAGGTAAAGGTAAAAGCCATGATAACCATTAAGCAAACAAAATCATGTCAGTGTTGGCACCGCACAGATCTGACGATAACCATGGGATCACACAATTTATTTCACAGGTAACACCAGAACAAACAGCGCAACAAGGACTTCCCAAATTAAAAGCGTAGCCGGTATCTGAACCGAACGTCATGAACAGGCTGCATCGTCCCAACCCCCCAGCGGCTGATGTCTATCGCTGGGATCTCCTCTTCTCCGTTGACCAGCTCCAGGTCATAGTGACTCAGCACGAAGAACACAAACAGTTTCATTTCAGCAGTAGCAAAGAACCGCCCGGGACAGATGGATACTCCTGCCCCCCAAGGCATGTTGAAGTATTTCAGCCTCTTCCCATTTTTGTAGAAATCTTTCTTGGTGCCATCTGGGTTTACGAAGCGGTCGTACTTAAATTTGTGAGGGTCAGGGTGAATGTCTGGGTTCATCTGCACAGAGATGTGGGGGAACAGAGCCAGCCTGTCTCCTTTGCGGATAGTGTACTCTGTCCCACTGTTTGTCTTCAGGCTGGTGTCCTGGAGGACAGCTCTGACCAGCACTGGGGCTGCAACCAGCCTCAGGGTCTCCTCCAGAGCACTGTCCAGAAGAGGCGTCTGGTTTAACATGTCCCTCGTGATGTTAATTGGTGGGCTCCCTGGCTTCACTTCCTGGCCGTTCTCCCTTAGGACTTTATCTATCTCATCCTTCACAGCCTTCATAGCTTCTGGATGTTTCATTAGATACAAGAGGAGCCAGAAGGCAGTTGGGCCCGTATTGCCTTGGGATGCCCAGAGGAGCATAAACATGAAACGATTCCGCATGTACTCAGGGACACCGTTTTCTGCCAGAAGCTGGTCTTGATCACTTATCCACCCACTGACATTGTCCCTCTGCCAGGTCTTCTTCACAGACAGCATGCTCCAGAAGAGCTTCTTCAGCCGTTCAGCTTCTATTTTGTCCTTGGGAGGCAACACAGCATAGGCCAGGCGTGGGAAGAGGCGGTCGTACTTCCTAAACTCGTGGTACAGCTGGTTGGAGTGGATGCGATCTTGCTCGTGAGCTTTCTCCTTGTTCTCTGCCCCTTGGTAGGGCTCAGTGCCGTACAGAGCCAGGTACCCGGCTCTGAAGACAATGTTGTAGCAGTAGTGGAAGAGGCTATCCTCTTGCCACACTCGCTTCTCCTTTCCTGAGCTCAGATTGAAAAGCATCAGCTTCTGAAAGTTCTCCATGGTGGCTTGTATCATGACAGTGAGTCCATCTCCCATCAGATGCTTCGTGCTCGATGCATGAATTATGCTATGGTTGGCTTCGATGGGCTTGTAGCCAAAAACCTGCAGGACCAGTTTAGATGCAAAAGTCCTAAAGTCTAGTTTAGCTCGTGATTCCTTCACAATGGCCCCAAAGCAAAACGGGTCCATCACGAAGGTGAAGTAATAGCCTCCAATCAGCACCGTGAACACATCCCCGTGTTTTCTCTGCATCCTTTTTAGAAACCCTGAACCGTCCTTTCTGAAATCCAGCATGTAACCCAGCCATGGAATGGTACCTTTGTCCAGAGGTGGCTCATCAGGTCTCCGTCTCCGAAACACACCCAGGAGGTAGAGCCCACCGAGCAGCGATGCTATCAAGGTAGAGAGGAGAATCGCCCAGAGTGCCATGACAGCTCTGCACCCATCTGGGGGCTCGGACTAGAGCTAGGCTGGGGCAGGAGAGGGATTTTTATTCCCACCCAGCAGCTGATAAGCAGCTACACAGCTGACAGCCTCTGTCCCCATTGGCAGCGAGTGTTTGCCTTTCCCCTGTGGAGTCCTCCAGTGTGTGCTTCTCCCTTGAAGAACAGAGAAGAGATTTTTTTAAGGTGGAAGGTACATTATAATCAAGTTGGGATTACTGGGCTGCCACGTGAGGTGGGGTTTGGCGTCCACTCTGCAGCAGCTTAAGCAAATTCCTTTTTCTAGACTGCATGGAGCCCCGTTTTTGAAAAAGAGGGTTGAGAGCGTTTCAGTCCGTGATTGCTGCCTTTACACCAGGCTATGGACATGTGCTGCAGGCTGGAAAAAAAAAAGAAAAAAAAAAGAGGAAGGGTGGATGTTGGAAATGCTACTGGAAATGAGCTCAGGACTGAGGGGGTGATTTGGTGTCACAATCCATGAGAAGGAAGTCTCCAACCTTTCGACGTCCTCTAACGCACAGTGCACTCTGCCAGTGAGGGAAGCATTGCTAACCTGTATGGGGGCAAGGCAAAGCAGGTCCCCTTTTCTCAAGGGCGATGAGGGCTTGAATCAGTTGCATCTGCTTCATGTCAGACGAGTCCAACATCTGCGTGTGGCCAAGCCTGCCTCCTGGCTGGAGAGCAGCAGTGCCCAGATGGGTGAGACAGCACTTTCTGCTGGGCACAGGCACACCCGATGCTCGGCAGCTGCAAATCAGTCGTGTCCCCTCCAGCCAGCGGAGAACCCTCTGCCCTCCTGCTCCCACCCCTGGGGCTGGTGTTTCTCCCCATTTTTCCCTTCTGCTTCTTGGTCTCTCCTGCTCCCCACTCTCTGGATGGGGTTTGGGGATGTCACACAGAATCACAGAATGGCAAGGGTTGGAAGGGACCTCGGGAGATCATCTAGTCCAACCCCCTGCTAAAGCAGGTTCTCCTAGATCATGTTACACGGGACTTCATCCAGGCAGGGTTTGAATATCTCCAGAGAAGGAGACCCCACAGCCCCCCTGGGCAGCCTGGGCCAGTGCTCCATCACCCTCAGAGTAAAGAAGTTTTTCCTCATATTCAACTGAAACCTCTTATGTTTCAGTTTGTGCCCATTGCCCCTTGTCCTGTTGCTGGGCATCCTTCTTGAACTGGGGAGCCCAGAACTGGACACCATGCCCCACCTAGCACTATGCCTCCGGGTGCTGCCACCCTGATCTACGCAGCCTCAGCCGCTGGCACTCAGACCTTGCAGCACCCTCACGTGGGATAGAGAGTGACATTATGTGGAAAGAGGGTTAAGAAGAAGTATTTAATGAGGCGATAGGCCAGACTGCCGTGGGCAGGCACGGGGCACACTGCTTACATGCAACCAGCCCCCTTTATACCCCCCCTCCCCATCTTCCTCCACCTTTGCCCTTCCCTTGAGCATCCCATCATAAGTTTTGCATGGTCCCATGAGCCCTCCGCTGCCCGGGATCACAATCTCCATCTCAGTTTTTCCTTCCCAGCTGCTCTCCCAGTGCTCTCCTGCTCTTCCACATTCCCTCCCAGTGACCTGACCCATGGAGTGAAGGCCACATCACAGCATCAGATAAATATTTATTCTGGCATTTATGGTTTTTTTTAAGGAAAGCTCCCAGCCTTAACAATTTTGGAAACACATTGTAGCAACATTGGCAAGAAAAATAACAGCAGTGACAACAAATTCACTTTTCTAGATTAACTCAAGATTAACTCTATATTAACTCAACCCCCTTCTCAGTCCTACCAGTAACCTTGTCTAGCAGTAAAATTAAGGTGATGAGTGTTTTCTCTTAAATTATTCATTTTATTTATACAACTCTAGGCAACTCCCATGCTCAATAGGTTTCCAGGCTGGAAAGGGCCCATTTAAGGTCCAAGAGTATTTGAGGTGAACAGTACTTTTAAATAAAGGCCAGCAAACAAATAACCTTGAACTTTCAAGCTACACTGGGTAACGAGGATTGGCTGTCAGCTTTCTGTGCTCTCTTCTTTGAGGCCACGCTTTCACTCTGGGGTGTTGCAAAGCCAATATTTATGTTAAAGACGGTATCCATGGATCTTTTTTATCTTGTCAAAACTGATCTTCAGGAAGGCAAATACCTCCACCGCTGTTCTGCTGAGCCCTTTTTTCTTCTCTTTCTCATTGCTTGTTACTGGATTGAACTTCATGGCTGACTGAACTGATCTCAAATCAGCTGGTGATCAAACGGATCTCTAACCAAGGATCCATCCCTCGGAAAGACGCAGTTTTCTGCTCAGCAGACACGCGTGTGTCACTGCTCACGGTAACGGAGAAACCCATCATTGGTCAGACGACCCAGTTGAAAGGTGCCTAATTCCTCCCATTGTCCCTCCTGGTAGACAAAGGGATGAGCCCAGCTGAACACATCTACCTGGCAGATGGCAAAAGCCAGGAGAAGAGAAAGCCATCCCCCAGGCTGGGCTTCTGGCCACCTGTATCTGGCCTGATGGATGAGCGTGGCAAATCCATTCCCCAGCCCACACCATGAGCTGGAGGGATAATGGGATTGCTCTCCTCCGTCAGACCCTTTGGCATCTATGGGGGAGAAGTTCCGCACACACAGTTTGCATTTTTAAGGGCACAACCTCTAGATAAGTTGCTCCTTCATCTACTAATGCCTCACATACTCCCGACAGGAGCTGGGCTTCTTCCACAAGCATAAACCTAGGGCAATCCTTTTATAATAATTCCAGTTATAACAGAAACAAATCCCACATATCCAATCCCGACGCGGAAAATCCTCATCTCGATGCTGGCACTAGGATGAAATATCCAGTTACGCAGTGCTGTGAGCTCACACCAACTCCATTGCATGGCCAGGACCAGTAAAATACAGCATACAGGGCATACATGTAACATAAATAATGTAAATATTGATCATGCATTTGTGATACTCAACATTTCTATCTCAGCTGCATATCTGCTACAAGACTGGTTTGTCTCTGAGGGCTGAACATCAAAGAAAGCTCTTCTCCTGCAAAGGGCCTGAGGGATCTTCCATAAATATAACCTGAATCGTTTTTTCACAAAAGCATAGAGCAAGGGGTTGAGACAGCAGTGGAAAAAGGACAAACTCTCAGTGATCTGCATGGCATAGTCCAATTGCCTACTGCTTTCACAGCTCCTGATCACACCAACATCTTGCAGGGAGTGAAGGATGAGGGTGACATTGTAAGGTGACCACAGGACAAAGAAGACACCCACCAGAGTAAAGACTAAGCAGAGTGCTCTCCTTGAGCCAGGCATCTGCGACTTGGTGAGGGCACACGCTATGCGGGAATAGCAGAACACCATGAAGAGGAAGGGAAAAAGAAAACCCAGGAAGTTTTGAATGACCCGAAAGACAACTTTCCAAAATAAGTGTCTCTGGCCATAATCATAGGCGCACGTGATGGGTTTGTTGGGGATTTTCCTCGTGCTGGAGAAGAGGCCATCAGGAATGGAAAGAAGTATGGAAAGGACCCATACCACCACCAAGACGAGGATGGACTTCCTCTGTGTCACGGAGCTGTGAGGAGAGTAAGCATGAACTATCTGCAGATACACGTCCAGGCTCATGCAGCTCACAAGAAAGATTCCACTGTAAAAATTCACAGTGAACATGGCATTTAAGACTGGGCACAATATGTCCCAGGTCACCCACTGAGAAATGTACAGAGCCCAAAAAGGAAGGGTTAGTAGCAATAAGAAGTCTGAAACCACCAGGTTCAG